GCTCGCCTCGGCGCTGGCTCGGTGCTCATCGCGGGAGAGGTGGAGTCCCGCGCTGTGTCTGGAGTACAGCGCCGCCTCAGGCTAGGGAGTGGAGAAGGCTCCGAGACTGGGGACCCGCAGCCCCGCAGATGCACCCTCTGCCTCCCTGAACCCGGGGACCCCACACCAGCGGTGCCCAGTGGTTTTAAGGCAGTGTAACGCCGGGCTGTGGCGCGCGCCCTGCACTCGGGAGGCTGAGGCAGGAGGATCGCTCCGAGGTCAACGCCACCCTGGGCTACATGGCGGGACCCTGTCGTAAAAAAACCACTGTTTATATATCCAGTGCTACCGCACATTGCCTTTTTTCTTTCTTTTCCGGTAGCGGGAATCAAACTCACAACCTTGCTTGCCGGGCAGGTGCTGTGCCGCTGAGTTAAATCTCCAGCCCCTCCATGTTGCTTTTAGCAGATCCTAATAGAGGTTGTGATCAGTATGTTCTGTGCATACCTTTGTTCTTGCTTTGTTTCGTTTTGGGTTTTTGTTTTGTTTGGGTTTTGTTTTTGTTTTTGTACCGGGACTCGAACTCAGGACCTTGCGCTTGCCAGGCAGGTGCTGTGCCACTGAGCCTTCTTCCTGGCCCATGTTTGGGTTTTCTTTTTGTTTTGTTTTGTTTTTGAGTCAGGGTCTCACTATGTAGTGCAGACTGGCCTTGAACTCACTTACGTAGCCCTAGGCTGTCCTCGAACTCACGCCAATCCTCCGGCCTCAGCCTTGAGAGTGCTGGGATAGGGACTGGGGATTTAGCTCAGCGGCATAGTGCCTGCCTGGCAAGCGCGAGGTCACGAGTTCGATTCCCGGTACCGGAAACAAATAAACAAACAAACAAAAAAAGAGTGCTGGGATAGGAGGCATGCGCCACCAAGCCGGGCTGTGTATACTATTTCAAATGACCTTACCAATTAACATCTAGCAAAGGGCAGAGAGAGGAGGCAAATTACACCGTGGCTGTGGAGCTTGTGTGGGGTCAGCTCGTGTAGATGTGAACCGGGGCCGCCTCTGCTGCCCAGAGTCCCGGTGCCCGGTGCCCGAGGCCCCTGGCGCTGGTGCCGCGGAGGAGGCGCGGGCGGTTGCGGCGGTTCCCGGCGCCCCGCGGAAGCGGCCCTGTGCTCGGCGCTGGGTAGCGGGTAGACTGCTGAGTTAACCTTGGTCTTCAAATGCGCCTCGAGGAGAAACTGGATTCTCCGAGATGCGGGAACTCGCGGCTGCTCTGACCGCAGGCCCCAGCGCCACGCGTCTCCGGGCAGGCTCAGGAACCGGACTGCAGCCTTCCGTCTCGTGGTCTGGGGTCTCACGGTTCGGTTTGCAGTCCGATGACCGATCTCGGGCTTCTGTCGCGATTCCCGCCCTGCCAGGCCCGGGCTCCCGCTCCCGCCTTCCTCTCGCCGCTGTGCTGCGGGACCAAGGCCCGCGCGGCCCGCAGACAGCACCAGCCCCCAAAGTCAGCGCCCTTGTCCGCACCAGGGCCACCTGCTCTCTGTCCCCTTCCGGAGCTGCGGGCTGTGGTCCTCTGCGGTCGGCGGGAGGCTGCACAGAGAGGGCCTGGAGGCGGTGGCCGCGCTTCCTTCCAGAGGCCGCTTTTGTCTGTGTCCGCAGGAAGGGTTTCTCTTCGGGGAAGTGAAAGGCGAAGCCAAAAATAGCATTACGGACTCCCAGATGGACGATGTGGAAGTTGTTTATACAATTGGTAAGTCATCTTCTGTGTCTATCTCTGATAAATGCTGAGAATCACAAGAATTGCTCTTTTTAGTCGGAGGTGGTGGCACATGCCTGTAATCCCAGCACTTGGGAGGCTGAGGCAGGAGGATCGTTGTGAGCTCAAGGCCAGCCTGAACTGCATAGCGAGACCCTGCCTCAAAAAGACAAAACAAGAATTGCTGTTTCTAAATTGTTGAAAAAAATGTGCTAATTTTGGCCAACCCAACACTCCAGGAGGCTGAGGCAGTAGGTTCGATGTGGGTTCAAGGCCAGCCTGATCTACAGGGTGAGAACCTGTCTGAAAAAACAAATGCAGACTTTTGTTTTGTTTTCAGACAGGATCTCGCTATGTAGCCCAGTCTGGCCTCGAACTCTCCGTGATCCTTTTTCTGCCTCTGTCTTCCTAGTGCTGGGTCTATCTCTGGGCATTGGTTGCTGTGTGCCACCATGCCCGGCAACAAAGGCTACTTTCAAAAAGCAAAATAATTTATTTATTGTCTTTTTGAGACAGGGTCTCGCTATGCAGTTCGTTTTTTTTGTTTTTTTGTTTGGTTTTTTCTTTTTTTTTTCCCGTACCTGGAATGGAACTCATGACCTTGCGCTTGCCAGGCAGGCACTGTGCCACTGAGCTAAATCCCCAGCCCCTCGCTATGCAGTTCAGGCTGGCCTTACAAAAAGCAAAATTGAAAAGAATGTATTGTACTCATTTTTAGTTAAAATTATGGCCACCAATTGTGTGAAACTCTACAAAACATAGGCAGATAGGACTGCTGCAAGGAGATGCAGCTGTTGGCAGCTGTTGTTTCGGAAAAAGTAAAAAGGAGCTTGAAAATATCTTTTTCTGATCACGTAACATATTTTATGTAAGCATCTGTAGTTTTTGTTTTGTTTTTTTTGAGACAGGGTCTCACTATGTAGTTCAGGCTGGCCTTGAACTCAAAGTGATCCTCCTGCCTCAGCCTCCTGAGTGGTGGGATTGCAGATGTGCACCACCACACCTGGCTAAGTGGACATTTCTGGAGCTACTGTCTTGTGCTAGGCACAGTGCTAAGCTTTATTTGGTTCAGTTATTTTAAAATGCTAGATTACTTCAACGTGGATGGCGAATGGGTTAAGGTCCGAGATAGGCAGATTATAGGCTTGATTTAGTTTGTGAGGTTTTCATCATTTTTACACTTTCCTGTGTCTATACACTAGAGCGGATTTCACCAGTTAGGGGGTACAGACATATTTTTTGCAGACAGGGACTAATCTAAGGGTAACATACATTTGCTAGAAGAAAATTGTCTGATGAGAACATTCCCTCTTCGTCCTTTGCCACTAAGGAGATAAAAACTCCCCTTTTAAAAATAAATAAATAGCTGGGTGTGGTGGTGCAAGCCTGTCACAGCACTTGGAAGGTGGAGGCAGGAGGATCCTTGCAAGTTTGAGACCAGCCTGAGCTATACACACACGAGGCAGTTAAGGTAGCTATACTCCTAATTTCTATTAGTTCATTGAAAAGAAAGTTTTGTGCTTATATCACTTGATCAATTTTTCATGCCTATATCTTGTAATCTGAGCAACTACTTTGAAGATAACAATAAGCAATGTACTAACCATTGTTCCTCTCCTTTATCTTGTTTTGAAATTTTGTATCATATTTTTCTCTTTAAAATAAAAAAAAAACTCCCCTTTTAAGCCATTGGGGTTTTTGTTTTGTTTTCTTTGATTAGCCACTAACACTGAGAAAAACTTTATGCAGTAACTACTTGGAGCTGGGTGTGGTGGTGCACACCTGTAATCCCAGCACTCTGGAGGCTGAGGCAGGAGGATCATTGGGAGTTCGAGACCAGCCTGGGCTACAGAGTGAGCTCAAGGCCAGCCTGAACTCCATAGTGAGGCGCTGTCTCAAAAAGACAAAACAAAAACAACAAAAAAAATGACTACTTAGAATAACAAAAGAGATTCCCTTCAACAGATGCTCCTAAAGTTTATCAGATGGGTAAATTGAGAGATCCTGTTTTTAGTACTCAGTGCGGACACAGCAGTTTGAACTCCTCCTGTGAGGCAGATGTTAAACCTCTGTGTAGAGGGCCTGGGGCCTGTGGCTCCGAGCGAGACTCTGGGTTGGACTCGGACTCCCCGGCTAGCATGGGGAGACCACGCAAAGACAAGAGCATCTTTCTCCTGGGTCCGTTGTGCAGAATCAATGCTATAATCCGCAGTGAGATACTTCTTGGTATGCAAAATGCTCAGTATGTTATTCAGATGTTACTCAGTAACTAACTAAATAACTCATCACTAAAACTTCTCCTTTTCCAGACATTCAGAAATACATTCCGTGCTACCGGCTTTTCAGGTGAGTAGTAGTATTAGAGTTACTGAGAGCAAGTCAGTTATCCAGCGGGATCTCTGTAAGTGGAAGAATTTTTAAACTGACACAGCACCGTAGTCACTAGTTGTACGTGGGAAGAGGCTTTATTTGTTTGTTTTGTTTTGTTTTGTTTTTTTTCCGGTACCAGGAATCGAACTCACGACCTCGCGCTTGCCAGGCAGGCACTGTGCCGCTGAGCTAAATCCCCAGCCCCGGAAGACGCTTTAAATGGCTGCAGATCACCACCTTGGCAGTTGTGTGTGGGGACAGCACTGTAGCTGGTGCCTCTGATGTCGAGGACCCGTGCTGTTTCTCACTAGCACCTCCCTGCATCCTGTGAGCCCGGTAACGGGTTCTCAGACTTGAGCAGCAGCCCCCCTTTCCAAACTGATCCTTTTTCAGCAACCGTCGCTGCACTTACATTTCTTAGGGTTCGCCTCTGCTAACCACTGTATTCTTTGACCCTTTTCCCGGTGCTTTTCTGGGGTGCAGGCTTATGCCCTTAATTCCACATGGGTAGAACCGTTAGCTATAATAGGCTGTGTTTTTTTAACTGAGGTATAACATACATGTAGAAAGGCACGCACAGGAAGCTTTATGATTTGTATAGAAAGCACATAAAAAATCATTGCAGTCACACTTAGATACACACATCTGAGCCGGGCGGGCCCTTGGTTAAGGTAAGAGGCGTGTGCTGGGGACATGGCAGATGAAAAGTTTCACCAAGTCTTTGTGTTTTAGTATAAACTTTAACACAGTTTTGTGCTTTAATACAGAGTTGGCAAAATAGGCCCCAGTGAACTATATTCATGTGGCCCTGGATCTAAATACATAAGTTTTGGGCCAGGCATGGTGGTACAGGCCTGTAATCACAGCATGCAGGAGGCTGAGTGTGGAGGCAGGAGAATCCCTGCAAGTTCAAGGCCAGCCTGGGCTACACAGTGAGTTCAAGACCATTGTGGACTGCACAGCAAGACCCTGTCTCAAGAAAAAAGTACTTTTTAAGGGTAGTTAACCAAAACCAGAGGAAGCATGCCCAGTCAAAACCACACATGGCTAGCAAAGCTCCAGATATTTCATCTGGCCGTTACAGGAAAAGCCTGCAGCAGTTACCACTTCTCGCACTTTCCCACTGGAATACCCTACTTTGTGTACCACAGGAGTCCAGGGGAGGAACCTGGGAGACCACGGAAATTTAGAACTAAGTCACTTGAAAATTAACTTGCTGGGCGTAATGGCGCACATCTGTAATCCCAGCCCTCCGGAGGCTGAGGCAGGAGGATTACTGCGAGTTTGAGAACAGCCTGGGCTACAAAGTGATTTCAAGGCCAGCCTGAGCTACAGAGTGAGACCCTGTCTCAAAAAAACAAAACAAAAAATACATGAACTTATGAACTCTGCACAGCATACCTACTTCTGTATAAAAGTCTTGCCCCTCTTCCCTGAAGCTTGACCTAAAATCAGTGCTCCACACATGTGCAGTCCCCTCAGGCTCCTGTGCCCTGGCGTGCAGCTCAGGCCTCAGAGCGTGCCCAGGAGACAGCAGCAAACTGTTGTGTGGCTGTCACACTGAGACATGAGCAGGTTCAGTGAAGGGATCTGTTTGATCAGCTTGACATCGTTCTCTGCTGCATGGTGTCACTTTGTTTCTTTCTGTTTTCCTATTAAAAATGTTTAAATGTAAGTCCTTGTAAATTTTAAAAAGTAAAAACACTATTAGGGCTCTATTCAGTTTTATGTAACTAAATGTTTTCAGTGTACATAAAATACCAGTAAAGCCTTTTGGGATGAATATTATTTTGACTCACATTTACCATAATAGAAATAGGCCAGGTGTGGTGGTGCACGCCTGTAATCCCAGCACTGGGGAGGCTGAGGCAGGAGGATTGCTGCAAGTTTGAGGCCAGTCTAGGCTACATAGTGAGTTCAAGGCCAGTCTGAACTATATAGTGAGACCCTGTCTCAGAAAAACAAACAAAAATAGATATTATTGATCTGAATGTTAAAAGAAATATTTTTGGAATCTCTGCTATAGAAGGGAAAGCTAGAAGTGCCTCAGGTTAGAATTTTTTCTTCTGAATCTTTTTATATAGCAGATGTTTCAACTACAGAAGAAAGACCACTGAACTCAACTAAAATCTGCCCCTTCTCCGCCTACCCAGGACAACCACTGACTCCTGCAGCACGGAGCTTTGGGAGCCAACAGTGAATACATGTGTCCTTTTGTTAAAGCGCTTTAGTTATTATGCACTCGTTCATGTTTCAGTATTGTAAAGAATGGTAATAAGTAAAGTGAACGAGTTGTGAATTGGCTTATGAGGTTATTTTTAGTACCTGTATTTAATGAATAGTTTATTTTTCTTTTTTGGTTTTTTTCCAGTACCAGGAATCGAACACATGACATAGCGCTTGCCAGGCAGGCGCTTTACCCCTGAGCTAAAGCCCCAGCCCCTTAATGCATAGTTTAATATTTCCTTCTAGGCTAAAAACATGCAACGCACAAACTTGGCTGTTGAGATTTCTCCACTTCTCCTTTTCCTTACTCAGAGACTGCCTGTTTCTGCCATTTTAAGTCTGTTAATATGGGAACTTTTTCTGCTCTTTAGGAGTTAGGGTGACAGGCAGGTAGGTATGGATTTTGGTTGGGTATTCTGCATCAGGAGTAACTAAGATTAAAAATGCTAAGAAAACCATTCAGATTTCTAGCTCATTTGAAATGTCTTTAATTTTTGATTTCACAGCTTTTACAACTCTTCAGGTGAAGTCAACGAGCATGCGTTGAAGAAAATACTTTCCAGGGTAGAAAAGGTACCTCTTGATTGACCTTCTGTTGGTTTTATATCCATTATTTTCAACTCCTAAAAACAGTACTTGACAGAACTTTCAAGCAGTGTTTGTCTTCGTGCTGGATGGTAAAGCGGGAAAGAGAAGGCTCGTCCTCAGCAGTTCAGGGAGTGTGCTTGGAAAACGGAGACTGGGCATCAGAAGTCTTGATCTCATCCTTCCCTTGGCTCCTCTAGGGCTGCTGCCCCACCCGCTGCAGGATTTATCTAGGACTTAGTCCATTTCTTTGAGACAGGGTCTCCGGTGTTGCCCAGGCGGGGCTTGAGCTCGTGGGCTGTGGGGATCCCGCCGGCCTCCCTGGAGGTGGGTGTGCAGGAGAGCATGCGGTGCAGTCAGTGTTTTCCTAGAGTTCTCTGCAGGGAAAGTTTCTTCTTTTTTGGTTGTTGTCAAGAATTGAACTCGGGACCTTGCCTTTGCCAGGCAGGCGCTGTACCACTGAGCTATATCCCTGGCCCCCAAGGTAAGTTTCCTACATGGCACTTCATGACAGTTCTCCATAGCATGGCAGAGGCTCAGTGAAAAGTTAGTGTATAGTCAAGACAGATTTTTCTAACCCCAAAATGAGGTTTTTTTCAGAGTACTTTTCTACCAAAACTTTTTTCTTCTAAAACTTTTGTATCTAATGTGCAAATCAGACTTAGTAAAAGAAGTTTTCTTTTCCAAAATTTATTTTATTTTCCAAGATTTTGTTGAAAATGCTTGGCATTTTTCACAGTCATATTTTTTTTTCTTTTTTTT